AGGAACATTTTGACTTTGATTGCTCATTTGATTTCTTTAAAAATTGCACCGCTATTTTAAAAACAGACTCTTAAAGCTAAAACTTTGGTCTACATCAAATAGTATTATTGTCAAATTTGAAAAACATGTGGATATAAATATAAATAAAGTAGTTAACTTTTGTTCCAATCCAATATTTTTCATTGTATTATTTCTCTTATTTTTATAGATATTTTCTATTTCCTCTACGGTACGCCTCAGAGAAGGAATTGCACTAAATTTCATAATTCTATATAAATTAATTCTTACAAATCAGACTAAATAATCATATTAAAATAAAGTATTGCTTCTTATTATACTTAATTAAATCATTATTATATAAGTAATTCAAGATCTAATAGCTAAAGGTTACGATGAAGAAACAGAAAGACAAAGAGATGCATGTATTTATAATGACGAACGGAGAAGATAACTTATTGCACTTCCTCACGATAGCATTCTGCTTGATGACCTATTTCTTCACAACACGAAGCTGGTTATTTATTTGTAAAAGGACATCATTTGCTTATTCGACATATTGACTGTCTAAAAAGTGAGAAAGCCGACAAAAGTTCGAACGAGTGCAGCGGAAATGACGCGATGAACGCGCGCTTCACAACGTAGTGAAACTCTTCTTTTTAGAGGCGAAAATAGATGTTTTGCGTAGCACAATCGTTACCACGTGTGTGTACTTTGGTAATATTTTTCCTACGTCTGGCATAACGTCAAGATAAACGAATCAATGATTATTATATGTACACCAATGAACGTTCCTATAAGTCAACACGTAAAAATTTATCAGTTTACAACGCTTAGAAATAGCTATTTGAATTGGCAAGAATAACATAAATCAAAATGTGTATGTCAAATAGGAATGCCAAAGAATTTTGTTCAAACATTTCAAGCACTTTTAAAATCAATCTTATAATAAATTAAATTGGTATTCTTTCGCGGCTTAAAACACACAATTTTTAAAAAGAAAAACTATATATTTTATCCGAAGAAGAATTACATAATAAATAAAATGTGATTATACTAATGAAATGATCTTTAAAACATTTACTGTACTTCTTAATCCCTTTCTACGCTGACTAGCTAATTAGCTTTGACTTACCGTTAATAACTAAAAGCGCTTACAATGATTGGATAAAGAGTTCAAGGATGATTGCTTAATCCTGACTGTATAAAAACCATACATTTGTTGGAATAACGCTTGCAAGTGGCTGATCGTTTTTGCTCTCTACTGGATCCTTCAATCCTGATCACAAATTTGGATCTTACGTCAGGCTGGTATTCTTGGACGCTTTGATCCTTAGATCGATAGATCTATATATTCTTCAAAACGGTTTAGTTTCTGATATGAACATGAGGCACACTTTGGCTCACGACTGACTTTATTTTTAGAGTTTTCACGAAGGCGACGACAAGAGTTCGCGCAAATGACCCGCGTGTACGATCATGTATCAGTTGCGTGCATCAGCTTATCGCCCGAGATAAACAACCACAAGAATCAGATCGCTATATCTAGAAACGAATGTAAATCCTGCAAGCACGAAAAATGGGACATGAGACAATGCATACAGTACACGAAGAATGCAATCTAGGCAATTTTCGAAGAAACGTACTCTGAGATTTAAAATCATTATAGTACAGAGATACATCACAGAATATTTATGATAAATATTTATTATTATTCATTTTTTGAAAATGTTATATAAATATTTTATACATATTTTATATAAAGCTTTATTAGAAATATTAGTAATAGATAGAGTAAATATTTAGTGTAATATTTATGATAAATATAAATAAATATCCTGGTAAAAAATTTTTCATGAATGTGTATAAATATGTATAAACATACATAAATATTCATAAACATGTATAATCATATATGAAATATGCCCAATATGTCCATACATGTTCATACATCCATCTTTCTTTTGCAAAATTATTTTTTAGTGTAATAAAAATAATAATGTGAAAACATAAAAAATAATTAAAGGGATAATTTTCGTATTGATCGTTTTAGAAAAAAACAAGTTTTGAAAAATGTAAAAAAATTACTCATACACAATTATATATATGCATACTTTTATATATAATTATATATAAGTTAATTAATAATAAATGTGTTAAGAAGGACTACGAACCATAAGAATTCTTATGGTTCATAGCCTTTCTCAACATATTTATTATTAATTTATATTATTCGAACCATATTACACAATGTATTTTATATATATCGTAAGTAATTTTTTTACATTTCTTCAAACTTGATTTTTTATAAAATAAATAATGTAAAATTTTAATTATTTTTAATGTTTTCACATTACTATTATTATTTCTATTACGGCAAAAAATAATTTTACAAAAGAAAGAGGGATAAACATGTATGGACATATTTCATATATGATTATACATGTTTATGAATATTTATGTATGTCCATACATATTTATTCATGCATGAAAAATTTTTTACCGGAATATTTCTGTTAAGTATTATACTTTTTATTTGAATTATAATGTCTTATTTCCCTAACATTTACAATAAATATTTCATAATGTTTATAATAAATGTTTATGATCTATGTAATTTATGACCACAAATATATTTATAAAATATTTAAAATAAACCTTATAAATATTTATAAATATTTTGTAAATATTTTATAAATATTGTATGCTGTCTATTAGGTATATGCATTGATTCTTGCAGATTAGTTTTCTACATAAGTGAAGACTTTTATATGGAGCATATATGCAAATTCCACAGGCCAAATATCTAGCATATAAAATTCCTCATGCGCGCCAGAGATTTGAAAAACAAAAATTAAAATTTGTGCAAATTTTAATAAATGTAAGATAGAAATAAGTAATAATGCGAACCCTGAAGACTAAATAACAATGGCAATAATGCATTAACAGAGAGCTTGCATAATCATTAAATGTAAATATTTTAATTGGATTAGTTTATTTGTAAAAACAGTTCTCACGCTTTGCGATTTCAACTTAATAACAAGATTCATTTATATTTATTAATTGTACCTGCATAAAGTATATATGTATATACATTTGTATACATACGAAAAGAAAAATTAATCCACCTTTTACTAATCTCTCCCTTCTGAGATACTCCATATGCCAAAAAATTACAAGCCTCCTATGTTCTGCAGAATCGATCAATTAACTTAAAATTGGCGGCATTAAAGAAGTGGAATAAGAATTCTGTGTTGTAATGAAGAGGATATTTTAAAAAAATGTATATTGTGTACATATTAAATGAGATTTTATATTGCATTTCATGAAAGCATTATGATAAATTAAGGAGACTTGAAAATATGATTTATACATGAGTTGGGAAAATTTCACAAGTTTTTGGAAACAAGATCTCGTACAGATCTAAACTGACACAGATGTGTCTTAGGCGGGATGCATCGCTAGATTTAAAGATTAAAAATGCATACCTAAGAGCTGCATCTAAAATAAGAGATGAGCCGAAACGGAATTGCAGTCATGGACTGGCAACTAAAAGCGCGCTTACGGTCGATATAGCATTATCATTCGTAAAAAATGCAGTACCCGTCGGTTCGTAACATCATAAGCTCGTCAATGTGTCTGCATTTCACGTCCTCCTGCCTTACTTCCGTCCATAAAGAACATTACTGCGGGAAAACAAGGACGGCAAACTTTACGACACTCATTACAAAACTTTAATCGCTCGATTTTGTATATACATATAAGCTTCCGCGCGAGGGGGTATAACGGACAGACATTCGCAATAATTAATCGAATGTATAACAGCCCAAGTAGAACATAGAAGTCATAAGGACACCCATAATTAAACCTGTTATGAATGAGGTCATGATTATGCCCGGGCAGAACAATAAGTCATCATGATATCAAAATGATGTCATAATGATTCCAAAATGATCATTAAAAGTTATTTTTCAATCATTTCCGATTTATTTTAATATCATTTTGACGTTATTGTGACTTATTGTTCTGCCTGGGCATAATCATGACCTCATTCGTAACAGGTTTAATTATTAATAACATCTACCAATTGCAGCTTTAGCGCGATTCAATTATCGAATGAAAGCTACCTCGCTGAATTCCTTACCCTTTTTGATCCTCGTATCGATCTTAAGTTCCTACATTATCTCTAACTTCCGGTCTTAAGTCTTTTGTATCGAATATCACAAAGATAAACGATAATTTCGTTTCATTTTACTTATAAGTCAATTTTTAGGTATCAAATGACGTCATGATAAGGTTTTGTGATACCACACAGAGAGAAAAATGTTTGGTATTTGTAACTATAATTATATATTACTATAATTATGATTAATTATAATTATGACCATAAAAAATATGGTTGTCCCAAAATATAACTATAAAATTATAGTCACTTGAACCATTTTTATGGTAATTTCAACTATTTTATGGTTACAACAACTATAATTATAGTCATTTTAGGTTGCCAATTATAACATTTGTTGCTGGAACTATATATATAGTTACTGTTATTATTATTATAGCAGTAATAATCATAATTATAGTAATATATAATTATAGTTACAAATACCAAACATTTTTCTCTCTGTGCATTATGACTTTAATTATGACTCCGTGTTCTACCTGGGAGATTACGTGTACACCATTGAAATGAATTAATCGTTAGTCTGTTTTCAGTAGGGACACGTGAAGTACCCCCGTTTTCGCTCTCGGGGAATGGATTGTCGTGTCGTCCGGCACGACTAAAATCGAAAAGCAGGCCATGCAGCAAGAGTGCATCGCGTGATTCGGACTAATGATCCGCGCGACTGTTTAAAATTCCACGAGATTTTGGCGATAGCGACGGGTGGGGAAAACCTGATTTTCTTCGCATCGATAGAAGGAAAGGAGATTTTCCATTGTCCGAAAAAAATGACAAAGGGAAACTGCTCGATTTCTGCTGTGCCGCGCGGCGCCGCGCGGCACGCGAGTCCCTTTCGTGACTTCTCGAAGATCACGCCGGGCACTTCCGACTTCGTGATTATGCCGGGAAGTAGCTGAAATATTTATGCACATCGCGTTTGTTCGCGTAATCTCCATATTCGATTCCGAGTTCAACGTGTGCAAATTACGTGCAAATCGCGCCCGTTCGCCATAAATCATTCGCGGAATGTTGCATTGACAGCTAAAAAGAGAAAAGTAACAGGTTTAATTATCAATAACATCTACCACTCGCAGTTTTAGCGCGATTCAATTATCGAATGAAAGCTACCACGCTGAATTCCTTATCCTTTTTGATCCTCGTATCGATTTTAAATTCCTACATTATTATCTCTAACTTCCGGTCTTAAATCTTTTGTATCGAATATCACAAAAATTAGATAAACGATAATTTCGTTTTATTTCCGGCAAACTCGCAGCGTCTCAATTTTCCCCCGACAGCAGCTGACATTTCTCATCTTACGGATCATCCCGATATACTATACTTATTATACGGTCGCGTATCTTCCACGGTGAACGTAATTACGATTTATTGTCGCAATTACGACGCGATCGTTCTCCATGCGATATTTATCAGGGATTCCTCTTACCGAGGGGTAATTGCAATAGTATATCCGGGCAATATCTCAAGCCTGAGCCCGGTGATTGAATTCATGACACACATTCATTAAGTGACGGACAAGATCGGCGGTGGTATAGAAATGATACATCCATCATGTTTCAGCGCTTCCGCGATAAGACGGTCCCGGTGTCGTGTACGACAAGTTGATCGTCCACGTTGCATCCCTCATCAGCGGCGCTAGGGTTGTGTCATCGATCAACCAATTATAAGCAGCACGTGAGCCGCACGAGTGCACCGTGTAAAATCACGATCGATTCTCCGAGACTGGGACAAGTTTTACAGTTCAAGGCGATAACACATCCGTCTTTCGCGCCCGCCTATGTCGGGGAACCGGTGTCATTGCAGCTGGTGCGCTCGCATACGTTTAAAACCCACCCCCTCTTCGAGTCATTCTCTCCGCCGATTCCAGGATTATGTACGCTCGCTCGTGCTCGTTTAGAAACCTGCGCGCAGGTAGTTATCTCGCGACGAGATCACGTACATGTAATACGGTCTCGTTCTATAAAAGCGACGAGGAAGCAATGTAACGCCTCCGATTTACTCCAATACCTAATTGCAACCCTGTGCAAATCCACTCGATTTAAACGGCTGGCTGCACGCCGATTGTCGTTGTCGTTCATACGTGCTTATTCGATTTTAAGTCCGTGCAAACTTACTTCAACTCGAGTTTAATCCTTAATGTCGTCGATGTGTTTTGCGAGTCCAATCGCGACCTCGTTTGTTCCGCGTATATTAAATTTCTCAACCTATACAGAAAAATTTAATAAAATAAAATAAAATAGATAAGGTTTTTGCGTAATATTAAACTTTGGCATTATAATTGGCATCTACGAAATTTCGATATAAATCTTGTCGATCGTGATTTATTTATCTTGAAAAATTCTAATCTTTCATTCAAATGTAAAAGTTTCACATATTTTAATTAAAATTTAATAAAAATATTTTTAATTTTTTAATTTTCTCACTACTACTATTTCAGATTGTGACGTCAGAAGCGAGAAAATATACAATAAAAGTTCTTGCAAATTATATTAATATGGAAATGTTTTAATGAAACAATGCTTACAATCGATAAAACCATTTTTGTAAAATACATATACTGAAAACTCTCCTTTTGTTTCGTTAATAAATAACTATATATCTGGAAATGAATTATGCATAATCAAAAACGAAATAAATTATTTCAAGGCTATGACAAATTGTCAAATTAATATGTGGAAATAAATATGATTAATGATATGTAGAAATAAATGTGATTTAACTTCTGTCTGAAACAAAAAGATAGCTTTTAGTATATATTTCGGTTGCAAATATTGTTTTATTTCCCGATTGTAAATGTTATCTTATTAAAAAATATTTTTTACATTATAAAATATAAAAATATTCCTATTTAAATACAATTTGCAAAAATTATTTTGATTTTTCGCTTCTTACGTCACGATTTGAGATAGTAGTGAACGAACAGGAGCTTTAATATTATTCAGTTTTATTTTTAGAACACCTGGGTAGCAAAAAAAATTTAATGCTAGGATTAAGTTTTATCATAAAATTAATGATAAAAGTGTCTGACGATCTAGAGTTTCTGTTTCAGCACGCTGAAGAAAATTCTTGCAAATTAATACAGCGAGGCATCGATACAATTTTATTCGCAATAAGGCGAAATATTTAACATAGATTGGTTATTCTTCTATCCGTTAGATACTCAAGGAAGTAAACGTTATTCGGCAGCAGAATTTATTTTTAGTATTACGGCTAAGTTGGCATTATTAGCGATTCTATATCTGAACATATAGAGAAACTGTAATCCTCGTCCCTGGAGCATAGAAACTCAGACGTTGAAATTTATCGTCGGCTCCTATCCCATCTTCGCGTTGAAAATGATCGTATAAATTCGTAATAGATTGCTGTTAGTCGAATGGGACTTTTTCGCAGTTTATAGTCCCTCTCTTAACACTCCCTGATGCTTATTTGATATACTCCAAATAAGACGAAATAATTCGGAGTTACTATAACGTACCATAAATTATATTCACGTTCAACTAAGAATTGTTCTAGATATACATGGACTGGATTCTAAATATAATAAAGTTTGGTCAATAGAGTTAAATTGTCATTATGTAACGAAGATTGAAACAATCTATCAAATTATAACAGAAACGATACGTCTAGATATATTCGTGGTTTGACACACGTTTACTTTTCTCAAGTAAAACTAATAATACTCGTCGGCAAATCGTCGATCATCGAGATCACGCAATGCGGGGTCCCACTATCTTCCTACAGAAAGAAAACCTGACATTTGATTCAAGCACGAGAGGAAAGGGAGAGGTGCCCGACGTATATATTATATATGTATAATAGCACATTCACTGTACCCACTGCAGCAGTTGCGGCGGTTTGAAGCTAATATCGAGCCGGTAGGTCGTCTCGCAGCTCAGCTTCACCGTCTTCAGCTGCCGGAATCTGGCGGACGTCTCCATCTTGCAGAAGACTGGACCGGCACCTGGTTCCCTCCTGAGGGACAAGGTCACGCGAAAATGTCCATCGGCCCCCATTTAGCCGCAGCTCAAATATCCCATAATAATTACTTCTAAGTCTCTTGGTGCCCCAGAGAAGATATCGAGCGGTCGCGTATGTACCAGACACGCGGTGTCACCGGCGGTGCCGCGCGACGATGTCCTATCCGACACACTATACTATACGGCGAGCCGCAAGAAGAAGAGGCGGTGCAACCTGCGCCGCGGGCGTCGCGACGCTCACTGATCCGCCAAACGTTCGGTTTGACGTTTGCGACGCCGGCCGGCTCGGCGGCTTTCCTCCTTTTTCTCGTGTGTATCTTCTTCGGGAGATCGGCCAACGTTGAGCTTCTGGCAATGATAAACGACGATGCATGCTGCTTTGTTCAAGAGAACACGGAGATATTCTATGCGCAGGATGATGTATTAACATTTAGACAATTCACGTGAGCGGAAAAGATAAATTTAAACTGTCTCTCTTTTCCAAAATTTACAAGAAAGTTAGACCTAAATTAATACAAGTTTTGCGAAGGAGATAAATTCAAATTATCGTGCTACAATTCGTAACCGCATTCACGAATTAATGTATAATGAATTTCTTTTAAGCTCACAAGGTATCAATAGTTTTAAATATATGAATGAGCAATTTGACTTGTCTCTCTTAATGCCTGTCATTTTAGATTTTCCGGTTAACGGCTCATCGATTATATCGCTTATGTTTACTTTAGAGAGTATACTGTATATGAGATTAAGTATGTATATGAGTACATAAAAGTCATATGCTTTTATGGCTGCTGCTTATGTGATGCACAATTAGGCAAGACAGAAGGCTCACGTTTTTCTAGATTTAGAAAAAGTTAGCGGAATATTAATCAGAATAGTATAAATCAGGCCTATCCAATTTGAGCTCCGGAGCCAAAACGCAAAGCCATCGACGCAAAAAAGTTCAATATGAGTAAGATTTCAGGGACCGTAAAATGTTGATAAGCGTCACTCAGATGCGTATTCAAATTGGACAGGCCTGGTATAAATATTAGAATATTGTGATCGAATGATCTCAATATCGAGAATTTAATTTCCATTGAAGTATTAAAATAATAAAATGTGCAGGATGTATGAGCGGTAATTGAATAAAATCATTTGGATAAAGTAATTATATATCTAGAAAAACTGTGGTATCTGTATAATCTTTTTATTTATACTTTTGCATAAAATAAATATATTATAAAATATATTAGCGCGATTAAGTATTTATATTACGGTTAATCTGGTCTAGTGCGAAGTCATGTTCGCGCGCGCTGTACAAGTCGGGATAAAAAATATTCCGATTTAATACGGATTTTTCAGAAGCGACATTAATATTAACGATAAAGGATCGATAAAAATACTGCTATAGAAATATAACGGGGTCAGCAAGACTCGGTGCTTCGTAACGCGTGGAAACTTGAGATATACGACGTGTTACTTTCTTTAAAAAAAGGGAGTTAGAGCCTTAATTGAGGAAAGTGTTTCATCTAGCGGCCTTGACCGGCCGACTTAACTGCAAACAAAGATCGATTTGGTATGCAACTAAAACAGTTTACGATCCGACCTCTATCGGTGATGACGCACAAAGAAAGAAAAGTATGTTTTCTCGCATTAAGGGGTTCCATTGGTTTCTCAATCATGATCCTGTGAAGCTTCACAGGAGAGACGTGTTGCACAGTACTCTACCGGCCGTAACAATAAATCAACTATGTCAAATCTATTATAAACCATCATTTTTTATGTGATGCTTGATATTACGCAATTAAAGTAATGAACGAGTATATTTAGCGGGAGATGTATTAACATGTAATTTCAGATAAGTCGCATGAGATGATTTTCTCGCGCACGAACACGACTACGTACAAAATAATCACAGGATCGATACTTACTCGAGAAAACTGAGAGTCTCTAGAACTCTCGTAACTCTTAGCGTTTTCTTTATTGCGTCTACAATTCGATTTCGCACGTATACATAAAAAAATACGAGCGTGCAAGGTGCCGACACATCTTCTTTAATTCTCCAATAAAATTAGTTCCTAATCTTATTTGCTTTACTCTATATTCTAGGCTTCCATATATCTCTCCAATCCTGCGCGACGTTCACAATTAGGTGCTGTCGTTCGATTTGTTTTTTGTCGGATTCTTTGCTAGAAAATGTACTTAATGCTTGACCGACTTTAATAGTTTGACCAATTTGCAAGGAGAATTGAAAGTCTCGCGGTGCCTCAAACAGAAGCACGATCGTGGATCCGAGTCTGAATTCGCCAAACAATTCACCTTTGGCAATATGCGCGTTATCTAAACTCGCTTCCTTCCAGTGCGCGCTTTCCGGCCAGTGCACCGTATTAGTCGCCAATTCTTTGTCGCAATAGACTCGTATGGAGCCCACGTTTGTCGCTCCGACTGCTGCATAAGCCATGAAGCCGCCTGCCCATTCCCCGACATACACAACGCGTTCGTTCAACGAGAACAAGTTGGGCATGAATTTGAGCACCTTTGGATTGACGCTCAGTAGCTTTCCTAAAAACAAACGGGTTGTTTAGAAAAATTAAAAGAGACACTTCATTATTATGAAGAGCTATAGAAGCCGTGTTTCAATATACACTGCTAGTACTGAAAATCTATATGTAGTATACATAACATGAACTATAGATTTTCAGTACTGGCAGTGTACATCAAATGGCCAGGCTAATCTATAATATACTATGTGCTTTCTGTTTCTTGCTTTTTTTCCCTTTCACAACTGTTTTATCAACAATGTTTCTTACCTCTTCCGAAATCAACAAAGAAGAGAGAATAAAGAAACAAAAAAAGGCAAGAAGTAAAAAGCAGTGAAAAGCAAGAAACAGGAAGCGAAGAGCACATTGTGATCTTAAAACTTCAAAGAGGCAAGGTATACCTGGAAAGTGCCGTCGAAATTTTATGTTCATATCGGTAGGACTATGGAACCGATGATAATCGCCAGGTGCCAAGTAAACGATCAATTGATGTAATCTATTGTCTGGATTCTTCAAAAGTGACTTAACATAATCGTCCTTCTGTGTCTTTTTTGCGATTTCATTTAATGTGAGATCGTTTAAATGATCACCCAGAAACTGTCTAAGATCATATGTTACTCCTTTCACTTGTTCCACACGGCAAGAAGTCACTGGTCCAAAATAAAGCACCTTACCGTCTGCAGGTGAAATCTGAGAGAAATTGTCAGATACTCATATTAGATCTGTTTTTTTTTAGCTACACTTTTTCTCTCCAATATGAAAAAAAAAAAAAGAAGAGAGATAAGCTGTGCAAGAAGTTCAGCTAAAAAACCTTTTAATATTTATATAAGTTTGAATTAAGGTAAAGGGCTTGTTCTTTGTAGCTAAACTTTTTGCATAGTTCCTTTCTCTTCTTTCTTCAAAGTGAAGAGAAAAGGAGGAAAGATGAATCATGTAAGTTCAGATTATAGATTTCTAAATAAAAATCTATAATGAATGTTTACCATATTTGTATTTTGAGCAATTGGTCTAGCATTATGCTTGAGCTTTCTAACAAAAAATTCCACCAGATTTGGAAACGCAGATAGATCCAGCTCTACCTCATTTAGATCGGCATGAAAGATATTCGCGTAAAACCCGTACAACGTTGGTCTGAGACCAACCGGCAATTCGATGCTCGTCAGCCAGCCCCATATTCTGCTAGTTGTCCTCAATGGCAAGCAACAATAGCAAGTTACCTACAGCAAGAAAACTTTATATCTATGTTAACTTTATATCGAACACAATTTAACATATAAACGGCTATCCATTACCATAACATCATTCAGCAATTCTGGCCCATCATCTACATCAATCCGATATCCATGCTGGTGCAAATAATTCCATTGTGTTACTGCGAGCAGCGAGAAGCCTACTCCAGTTGGGACGACGAGTCGCCATCTCCGACCGATATTCTTAACAAATTTCATACTGACACTCGAGACAGATCGTTTAACAAGCCACGTTGAATATTTCGGAGTCACTCTCGGCAAAGAGCAACAATATTGGTATTCTCTGGAAGAAGTTAGGTTATATTGTAACAAGATTGCAGGTTAGAAACATCATTTCAATTGAATATTAAGAAACGTACCTGACAAGGAGACCCACTCTCCGTATATTATTCCTAATCATCTTGCGGTTATTTTATTCATTATTTAGCCCATAAGTAATATGATGCAAACATTTGCTGTTGCAAACCGTTGCAAACACAAGTATGCTTCGCCAAGCCGGTTCCAAGTTCCAAGTTTAAATAAATGCGCGCGCACTTTTGAACTTTATAATTATTTTGAAGGTGGCTTAGAAGTTCATAATTATTTTATTTTATTGAACAAAATAAGGGATAATGATCCTCGATAATAGTAAATAATATTAAATTTTCGAATTTTGTAGCGCCGACTTAACAGTAGCAGAAAATATTTCCTGTAAGTATTTTGAAAGAAGAAATATGGGAGCGTTCAAGTCTAGACAAAGCGACTAGGTTTGTTCGCCAGCAATTAAATATGGCTACGTTTACATCGTGCATTTAGGCCGCGGCCTACACGATAGATGTCTTTGTTTATCCTGTATATTAAACAAAGACACCTATCGTATAGGTCGCGGACTAAACGTAGCCTATGATTGGTTGGGTCCACAGGTAAGAACCAATCATGCTCATTCTGGCTCATTCGACAAGCATGACTAGCCGGCATGAATTCGACCATTGCTCCAGAAAATTTGGCAATTTCGCCAAAAATATGCCATGGCGTCCATATGGTAATTGACAAAATTGCCGCTAATTCCGACCAGTTTCGCATACAATTGTTTTAATTACACAGATTAATCGAAGTCAAACTTCTCATGCAATAAGCAACAATCGACGTCGTATGTCGATTGTTATATCCAAACAAGTGATTTTCGTACGTGATATATACAAGGAACATTCAAGTGATATATGCAAGGATGTTCGTGATTTATGCAAACAACATTCTGAACACTTCATCGATATTTACACATTCTGTGACGATAATTCTCTTACTGATCCGGAATATTGGCACATAGGGAATACAAATCGAACTTTCTACGAATATAACGGTACGTTAGCTGGGACATTACATCAATATTGTAATTTCCCAGTCAACAATGTAAATATGATACATTTTATGTAACGATTACGTTATATTAAGGAAATTATAACTAGACATCGGATTCTTATGCAATTTCATATTTTTTTGGAAAGCAGATTGGAAAGAAATTTATCTTATTAAAAAAGCATTCTAAAAATGCATACATATTTACATATTTGTGCAAATTTGCATACTTTGTCCACGCTGCAAAAAATATCTGCATAAAAATCCGATGTCTAATTATAACATGATGTTATATTATTGTCAGTTGATGTTTACTGGACACCAATATTTTTCCAGGTAATTTTTGCCAGGAGAAAGGGTTGATGGCAGTTGAAGGACGCGACGCGGAGCGGCGCGAG